TTTGTTTGCAAGTGGAAATTCCTATCACTCATATGACAAGAAGGAATCTTCAAAGAGCCAAAAAAAAAAAAAAAACAAAAAAAATACCCCAACTCCAACCATTATTAAGAATCATTATGTCTACCTACAATGAGATACTGAGAAATATTACTGCTCTATTTAGGGTTCAATCAGTATTATGGGATTTTAAAAGATCAGAAGAACAACTCGAGCTGATCAACAAAGGTTGTTCTTTTGAGAATCAGCATTCTTGCTAGCTCAGAAGGGAGAAATAGAACTGGAAAAAAACAAACAAACAAAAAAACCCACTGGTCCAGCCAATAAAAACTTTTCTTAATGATCACTTTCAATTATTTTACTTTAATTCAAAAGGTTTAAATGTTTTGGATTTTTTTTTTTTTTTAACACACATTTAAACATAGGTGTCAAGTTTCAAAAATAACTTGCATGTAAACTATATGTTATATACACTGATAATTAAAGAAGAGATGAGTGGAACATACATCTAAAAACAGTCGTTTACCAAAGCAATATTAATTTTTGACAACAGAAAATGAATCATTTAAATTAAACTAAAATATTCAGTTCTAATAAAAAATTTGGCTGGTATGTATCCAGGTCAGTCAAATTCAGAAGCTCTGTAAAAACAAAATAAAATTCCTGTTTTCTAAAATAAATATCTTCCAAAATTGCATTCATATTTCACATTTGGTATATACTTTATAGTTATAATTATCACTTAACTTTTAGCAAAGCCTGAACTCTTTAAAAATTCTAATTGTCCTTATAACAGTAAAAGTTTAGAGATATATTCTCAGCTGAAATTTAATTTGGAGTACAAACCGAAAGCCAAATTGTCAGAAATAAAATCAGTTGAAAATTATGAAATCTGTAAGGACAGTTTAATTACTACTGTAGCCAACATTCTTTCTCTAAAGTTTGCTTGTGCTGAATTTCCATTTGAGAATCATAGAATGATTTGGATTGGAAGCAACCTTTAAGGTCATGTCACTCCAGCCCCCTGCTACAGGCAGGGACATCTTCCATAGACCAGGTTGTTCAATGCCCCATCCAGAAGAACAGACTGGATTATATTTCATTATAATGCAATCTTTAAAATTTCTTCTTGGTGCTCAATAAAGTGTTTATAATTGAGTAGATCAGATGAGAGTCTTAAAATTAATAAACATATTAAAAAGTGGAAAATATAATGTTATATGTACACTGTTTTTGTTTTCTTTTTTGGCCAGGTAAAAGATTTAGCAAAACAAGAACTTGGATATTAGGAAATGGTTGAGGGTGGTCAGGTACTGGAACAGGCTCCCAAGGGTGGGTGGTCATTGCCCCAAGTTGCTGGAGGTCAAGGAACATTGAACAATGCTCTTAGACACAGGCTCTGAGTTTTGGGCAGTCCTGTGTGAGAAGGGGTTGGACATAATGATCCTTGTGCACCCCTTCCAACTGAAGGTATTCTGTGATTCCAAGTAAATAAATTTAATATAAGGCCATAATTGCAACATTTGTCCATTGCAACATTCCTTTGTTAAGTGATAGCCTTGTTAACTAGGATTTCATTGTAACACCTAGCCTGTAACTACAGAAGTGACATGGCACTGGAAAGCTGCAAAATGTCTTGTATAACTGTCATGTTTGGGTGCCTGAATTTTCACACCACAAAACAATGTGACATGTTTAACAAGCTGTTGGAGGACATTGTAAATGCAATGGAAAGTCACAGATGGAGCTGTACCAGACCAGACAGGTCACATCCCCGCACCAAATATGAATACACAACCCATGCTTCCCCAGCAGAAGATACGCTGCTATGGCACTTCTACCCTAAGGTTCAGGGAGGTTGCTGCATGCAGAGCAGCTTCCTCTACTCAAGCATGAGGATCAGTCGTCACAGAGTGCTTTACAGCAGCAGCTGGCTTTTAACAATAGCAGGACAGCAGGCTAAGTTCCTCCCTGGAGTAATTCCATTGCCCAGTATTATTTTTCCTCTTACTGAAAAAAAAATTGGACATATCATCGTGCTTTCCAGGCAACACTGCTGCAAATTCACTTGGAGACCAGAAATAGATAAGATGAAAAGAAAAATAAGCAACAAATATACGTTTAATTGACATGATCATCCCTAAATAAATCCAAGTTGGTGGAACAGAAAAATTATGGTGCCAAGGAATGGATGAACAGCATCAGCCAATTTCATTTTCCTTTGTTCAGGGAAAGAATGCTAAATACTTCTGGGTTCTCAAAAAACTTCTTTTTAAAGAGAAACAGCTAAGGTGGCCAACTAAAGAACTTATCTGTGGTCTTCCTCCCAGTGCAACTGGAAGCCGCTAAGTAAGTGCTAACACAGTAATTCACATTACCTCAGCCACCAGCAAGTCTGAAACACCACATTTGCCAGGATCACCTTGCTACTGCACAACAGGTAAAACATCTCAGTTAAAGACACAACCAACACTGAAGCTCCTGGTAAAAATGGGAATAAGAACCTCCCTTCCACAGCAGTGCCTTGTCAAGTCCTGAGCAATTGGAGACGCCACTGGAGGCACAACAGAGTGGTTTGCCTATTCCCATGTAAGTAAAATGAAGTAAATAAGTGAATGAGCAGCTTGTCCTTCAGAACACTGTGGGATAAATGTGCCAGGACACAGGAATATATGAATATATGAGTCACTAAAACTCTTCCAGAGTTGCTTTTCTAAACACAAGAATGGATATCAAATCTCAGACTGTCCAGTTCCAAAATGCAATCTCAAATGCAGAAATATGAAAAAGCCCATAGAATCAATCACCACTAAGAAAGAGAAAAAAAAATGTGGTGCAGAGAGACTGAACTCTCATGATCTGTCCAAGTCATCAGAAGGAGCACTTATGTTTGGAGAATTTGTTCACAAGTATAGTCCAGGAGATATTATATTACATTAACATGATGGAAGTACAAATGCCCCAGGACTTAACAAACTTTGTGGGATATGCATTAACCATGATGGAATCTTGTAAGAGTTATTCCGCAGCTATGACAAGCTATTAGAATGGCCACTGAGAGTCTTCAGTAGTCATACACAAATGTCCTTATATTCATGACTTTGTCCCACACTCCTTATCAAAATGTTTGAAAATGCCTCACAAGTTAGCACCACAATGATTTAACAAAGCAGACTGAAAACATGCTATGCTTCTTACCAAGAAAATGCCCTGTGAACAGGTGCAATGAAAATTATAAAATGATAAATAAAATAGCTATACAAAACTCAAAAAATATTCACTTACAGTCACTGAAATATTCATTTTGATGTTTTTTCAGAATGTTTTCAAATCAAAATGAACTATAAGTTATCACTAGACTTCTAAAACGCTTTGTGCCACATCAACCTCTTCAATAAAAACATCTGTTGAGTTTCTACATGTCAACAAACCCATAATTTTTGAATACTTTTGCTTTTATAAAACCCTTCCTTTTGAAAAATTAAGATGTTCCAACTGAGCTTTTCCAACCAGCTGTTTTCTAGGAGAAGTTTCAAATTACAGTAAAGAAAACATCAACAAATAAGCAGAGCACTTTCAATGGAATCTGTACAGGGACTGCAGGCATGCTAAAATTACCCAATGCAGAAGCCAATACCTGCCACAGATCACTAAATGCCTCTGTCTGGCAAAAAAACAAACAAACAAAAAAAAAGAACATTTTAGTACCCTATTGCATTCACACTTCACTGCAGTATAAACGAGCAGAAAAGCCATGACAGCCTTAATCAGATAATTGCAAGAAAGCCAGATATGGTCCCACTTAGGGGAAATCCTGTTAGGAATACTTCTTAAATAAAGGAAGAGACTTGGGAGAAGTTATTCATATGGAAAAGAACAGGGAACATAGGTCAGTACAAACCCCTCTCCAAAAACAAACATATTTTGTCTGCTTATAGTGAAGAGCCTGTATCCTGAACCAACTGCAGCCAGGACATGCTAAGTGCCAGTCATCAGCTGTCAGAGTCACAGCCAGCCACACCGGTTTGGGAAGTGTCTTGCACAGTAGAAGGCCTGGCTTCAATGCAGTGCTGCAGTACAAATGTTATACACTAGTCTTCATTCTTCTAGCAAGGTAATCTTTCCCAAAGGCTTTTCACAACATGAGTGTGTATAAGCCTTTGCTCCTCTGTGATTCTGAATGCATTTTAGTGACAGAAGTGGCACAGGCAAGATGCAGTTGTGCTGGTGTTTCCCTGGGGCTAGACCCATCTGCACTCTCAACTGTGAACACAGTCCTTCCTTTCTGAGTGTAGCTTTCCAGAGCCCTCTGAGGCATGGCATCAGTAATGCCATGATAAACTTTCAAGCAGCTGCACCTTCAATGCTCCAGCATCAGCAAAGCAGGATGTTCAGAGAACACAACTGTTTCCTCCTGATCATGGAGAAAATGGGCAAGCCCATGCTCCAAAATATTTCACAGTCATAACCAATGGGTTGGTGTATTTGCACAATGTACTTCCCTGTTTTGTTCACTCAAAATTTTCACTTCACTTTGCTTAAGAAAGAAAACAATACAAATTCTAGAGCACTAGCCTAAGGGCTTCAGCCTGGCAAGCACATGACAGGAAATGTAACCTTGTACTAGTGTTGCTCACCTTGGCAAACCAGTGTCTTCTGTTTGTGCCAGTGCTCAACAGCATCCTCTGATATCTATTTGTGCTCTTACATTCAACTATGTACTTCGTCATCTTCACTTTCAGTTATAAGCAGTTAGAGTCATACTAATAATATAAAGGTTACTATCCCATGCTCTACATTCCTTTCTTGCAGTCACATGTTTATTCATAAAAATTCAACTGTTTGCCTCCCTAGCTCAACTCAAATATATTTTTTAAGTTTCAGATGAAGCAATACCACACAAGGATTAAGAAGGAAGATAAATGCCCAATATTGATCCATTTATCTGCCATTTAAGAACTGCCAGGGGACCCAGCAGAAATTTGATAAATTGCCTCTCTTACCAAGAGCTTGTGGGCAGAAACCAACATGTTAGTTGAGCACTCCTTTGGGTGAAGAGCCTCTTGCATTTAGAGCAGGTATCTCAAATGCTGGTGATTTCACTCCAATTTTCAGCTGTGAATAAAAATAAACCATTCCTATGGGAAGAGGGTTACCAGAGGCTGAAGACAAATTTATTTGCACAGGAAAGAGCGGGCATAAAGCTGTGCTTTCTGTCTCAGAGGAGTACAGCTTTAGCAGGCTGAACTCTTGCAAGGGGCATGTTTGCTAGGGCAACTGGAGTGCAGGAGCAACAGAGAATGAGGTGAGGATAGCAGAGATTTCAAAGGACAGCTCTGCAGCATTGGCTGCATTCAGGAAGAAAATGGAGCAAGCAATGGAGTGGGAAGCACTTCTCAACGTAGAAGAGACAAAGCAAGTGCAGGACAGCCAGGTGATCAGGCCCAGCCAGCAGGGTTCATGAAAGGCAGGTCCTGCCTGACCAGTCTCATCATCTTCTATGATCAGGTGACTTACCTGCTGGACAAGGGAAAGGCTGTTGACGTAAGTCTACCTAGACTTCAGCAAAGCCTTTGACACTGTCTCATACACTATTCTCCTGAAGAACCTGGAAGCCTATGGCTTGGACAAGTACACTGTTAGCTGGGTAGAGAACTGGCTAGACAGCCAGACCCGGAGAGGTGCTGAATGGAGTTAAATCGAGCTGGGGACCAGTCATGAGTGGTGTCCCCCAGGGGTCAGTATTGGGTCCAGGTCTGGTTAATATTTTTATTGATGATCTGGATGAGGGAATTGAGCGCGTCCTCACTGAGTTTGCAAAGGACACCGAGTTGGAGGGTGGTGTGCATTTGCCAGAAGGTAGGAAGGCCATACCGCAGGAGCTGGATAGACTGGATTAATGGGATGAGGCCAAAGGGACAAAGTTCAACAAGACCAAGCATCAGGTCCTGCTGCACAGGGAGGTGGTGGAGTCATTGTTCCTGGAAGTGTTCAAGAAATGTGTAGATGTGGTACATAAGGACATATTTTAGCAAGCAATATTTGTGGGCAGACAGTTGGACTAGATGATCTTAGAGATCTTTTTCATCCTTAATAGCTCTATCATTCTACAATCATATAAGGCCACTTCTCTCTCCCCAGTACACCGGAGGAGTCACAACCACTCTGCTGAGGTAGCATTGAGAAGATCACCTGCCTCCAGAGTCAGATGCAGGAATGTGAACATTTTACCTGCTTTAGAAAAAAAATGAAGAGAGGAAGCAGCAAATCTATCAAAATTTAAGGAGCTTATTGCAGGATGAGACTCTGCTGGCATTCAGAAGCTTGACAATTCTGGCAGCAAAATTGCATCTTTACCATAGAATGATGAAGAGAAGGTAAAGGAGTCGTAGCAAGAAGCTTTCTTTCAAGCTTTCTTTCCTCTCAGAGGAGGAGATGTGGTCAGGGCTCAATAGCTAGTAGCAATCTTTAAACAACTGGCAGCTACCCCTGTTGTCTCCCGGATTTGCAGATGCAGCTGTTACAACCAACAGTGCCATTTACCTCAGAGACCCTGGCCAGGAGCCCGTCTGTTTTGTTGCCTTTTTGTCTGCAATTTTTTTTCTCCCCGATTTTTCCTACCCATTCCTCTGGCACAGGCTCATGGATCTTCTTCCTCTCCATGATGAGAGCAGTTCTGGCAGCATGAAGTCTTCAGGCAGGGATAGATTGGCTGCAGCCCCTTGCCCCTCCACAGCCTCCCATTTTAGTTCTGAAACCAAGCTGTTGCTTCACCTTGTTGTGGTGGTTTTCCCCGTGGCTCTCCACCAGTGCATAACAGAATGAATTTGGAAGGTTTTTGAATTTGTTTTCTTTCCATCCAGGCAGTTCATGCCTCTGAATTCATTATCCCATACTAAAGAATCACTGCCCCAAATCCACTGCAGATTTCCATAATCCCTTCCCTAGAGGCACTGAACAGTTTCCAGGCAGGATAAAGAAAGGAGTCTGATCTCACCTGGCTGTAACAAGGGTTTCAGATAAGGTATTACCTCATGATTTCCAGGTGGAGGAAAGCATGCAGTGCCCTGAATAGGATAGCTAGGATATCCATTAAATGCCAACATTAAATCCCCCATTCAGAAATCAGGTTAGCTGTAGGTAACAGAGATTTAATGGCCACTGCGGCGTAAGAATAATTACATTGATCCACAGAGCTGAGCAGCCATGAGTTTAATGCTTCTGAAAGCCAAATGTGTTGTGGCTCAGAACAAAATTCTTTGTGCAAAGAAGTAGGTACACCTAGAGCAGCTTTGTAGTGAATGGAGCTTTTGCTCTGACCTGCCCACATCTGCTGAAAGGTGACCAAAATAACCTGAGCTGCAAGGCATCCGTCCTCGTTACCTACAAAAGCTCAATTTCATAACAGTGATTTTAAGGTCACAAAAATCAAACTTAATTAAATCATCTGAAACTCAGTCCTCCAAAATCAAGTATTCATATTCAATGGTCCATCATAAAAATCTCACAGTCTGGAGCTTGAGGACTCCAGTCTTAGTTTCACAATTATTAAGTAAATTCTGGCTAACCCAAATTATCAGGCATGTGTTAAGATTAAAAGACATGATGAAAGAATTTAGACCCTAACAGAGTAATAACTAAAAGATGCTAACAGGCATCTGCTTTCATTTGTCAGTAATCAAGCTAACGGAAAAAAACCTCAGGACGTTAGTTTTAGAAAAGCTGAATTGCCAATTCCTTCTAGTTAATTTAGATTACCACAGAATCATTTGAGCTGGAAGGGTCCTTTCAAGATCATTTATTCTAACCCCTTCCACAATGAACAGGGACACTTACAGCTAGATCAGGCTGCTCAGAACCCCACTCAACCAGACCTAGAATATGTCCAGGGATGGAGCATCCATGACCTCTCTAGGCAACTTGTTCCACTGCCTCACCACTCTGTTGTAAAAAGACTTTTTCTGAATCTCTAAAGTCTAAATCTTATAGTTTGAAACTAAGAGTTCTGTAGACCAAAATGGGTCTTGAAAGAATAGATTAAAGAAGAAAGACCAACATGCATTTTGGAAATGACACTGCAAAAGTATATAAGGCTCAGAGATACACAAGCTAAGGAAGTCTTCCAACAGAGAAGTATATAACCCTCAAGCCTAGTGTAACAAACCACAGAGTAATATAATCCACTCATAAAAAGTGAGTTTCTTTGACAAAAATACAGATTTTTCAAGTGACTCATTTTGAAGGCAAAATTTATAGAACAGTGTACAGATTCACTCTTTTCATCCCTCCATACAGAAAGGCAAACTTCTCCTATGCAGAAAGAACTTCATTTCTTTTCTGACATAGCCTCTGAACTAGGGAGATACAAACATGTAGTTTTTATGCACTTCATAGGTGTTGTTTACAGTTACTAAAAGGACTTATTGCCAAGTGATGTTGAGATAATGGACTTTTGCCTTTATGTTCACCAACCCACACTGCATCCCCACTGCTAGACAGGCCATCTGCAAGCACTGCTTTCAAGCATGGCAAAGCTTCCATTTTATTCCTGCATCAGAAAGATAGCTTTATGGAGTTCGCAGCTGATGAGCAAACAGTCCACTCCCACCTCAAACAGCGCAAAACTACACTAAGCATCTCCAGCAAGCTTCTATTTGAAGAAAATAAAACTGATGGCTGTTTTTATCCCCTTTCCTGTATGGTCCCATCTCAATGAAAATCTGTACAGTGGGAACAGATCCAGGTTTTCTTGCTCATCTGCTGCTCTCAGCCACAGTCAAGAACAAGCATCCAGGCATCAATTACAGGCATGGCCCTGCTTGCTGCATGCTTCACACACTTGTGTTTTCCACATCTCATGGACCTCATATGCTTAAAACAGAGCTGAGACCTGCATCTCTGCCTTTGTCCAGACCCATGAATTTCTTATGGCAGTTTAGGCACACAAAACAAGGTAGCAGTACAGAGAGATCTTCCCCCATACCAATAAAATGGCAGACTCAGATCACATCCTCACTTACAAATACTGAGTTACAAATTACCAGCCTAAGTGCCTCATATTAGTGGTAACAGCAAGTGAACACTCACCTCTGTGCTCACAACATAGGCTTCTTGTGCAGAGCTGGGGTGGCATTATCTTCCTGGATGGATCATTTCCACCTATCCTGTGACAGAAAGAAGTTAGCACAGAGTCAGCTGAGAAAGTCCCTGGGAACCTCTGCCAATACAGAGACCATAATATAAGAAATTTTTTTTCCTATATGGAGAGTCTGATCTATCTTCCTAATATAAGGGCTGCTCCAAAATGCCTCCTATTGTCTCCTGACATCAGAGGCAGATGTTGGTGGAACAGCAGTAGAGGTTGAACCTTCCCAACAATATTCCATTAAATTCTGTTGCCGTAAGATAGATGTCAGTAGAGGGGCACTCTGACATAAAAGGGCATGTGAAGCAAGGGGTATAATTAAATTCCTCCATGCAGAAAAAGTGACACCCACTGACATTCATCTACACTTGCTGAACATTTATGGAGACCAAACAGTGGATATTAGCACAGTGAGGCAGTGAGTTTCAACACTGGTGACAGCAACATGAAAGACAATTTACATTCTGGGCGAACACGCACAGCTGCCACACCACAAAATGAAGAGCATCTTGATCAGCTCATCCATGCAAATTGGCTAATGGTAGTGACTATGTTGAGAAGTAGTGTTTTTATAGCTGAGAATTTTCTCTATCAAATGGTGTTATTGTGCTCTGTTGTAGTTTCCATGGAAATAAATAGGAGGCATGCTTTCAGAACAACCTATATACTATAAAGTGTCTGCATTTTTTACCATGATTGCTTTTATTGACTCAGATATTTTTAAAATAAAATGAGTAATTAGATAAAAGCAGTTTGCTACCAGGAACTGAGCAATAATTTGTAAGCATTCACCAAAACTTGAACTGATTCTGACACTTCTCTTAGTTATGTACAGAAGAGAAAGAAACTCATATCAAATGTGCTCTGAAGTCTATTTATAAGTGCAAGATGAGAGAGAGAGAATCTAAAACACAAACAGTTTTGGGAAAAAAAAAAAAAAAAAAACACAAATAGGAATAAAACACTATTTCTACTACCTTATGTACTGCAGCATTTTACCAATAGTAAATTCAACACATGTTTTTGCTTCTACTAAAGCTTAACATACATTTCCTGAAAAGTAAATAGTGTCAGACTGTGAGAGCTTTGCTCACGTTTCATTGATACATGTTTAGTATATTTAGCTACAGACTTAAAAGCACACTTTTCTAGAAGAAGGAGAAATGATAGGAGCAGTAATGATTCAGACAATTACCTGAATTGCAAACAATTGATTTTTATATTTGACATTTTCTGATGCATTTTTGCTGTTAGTCAGTAATATTATTAAGTCATTGACTCTCCCAAAGACTTGAGTGTTAGTTAAGAACTGTAAGTGACTGCCTAGATGTAACACAGCAGCTAAGTCACACTGCTAATTAGACAGGTCTTTCTGTCATCACTGATAATATGTTAGAATAGTTTAGCAGTAGGACAGAACAGTTATCCTGTAAATTTAGCCTTAAACAGAAATTATCTACTCCTAATAACTAAACAAAAGCTTTTTATAATCCCTCATAGAGTGGTTTTATAGCATAGCAATTGTCTAGCTCTCCTTGCTTATGACTGCAAGTATAAGTCTTGCCTGACTACAAATTCTGTGTTTTATCACACAACAATACAGTATGCTGTACATATGTGTGTATAACACATCTCAGAAGGATCATCATTTATTAAGAAAATCAAAATCAGCTTGTAAGTTTTCGTATGTTAATAATTTGACAATCCCATAAAATTCATCACATAAAAATATCTAAATTACAAAAAAAAAAAAATTATTATAATAAACTTAGATGTAATTCACATATTTTAAAATTCATATTAAGAACTTATTGTTCCCAGAAAGATTCAGTATAACCTCTGTTTCAGATCCCAACTACTAAAAAAACAAACAAACAAACAACGGAATCAAAGAGTCATAGGATGGCTTAGGTTGGAAGGGATCTTAAAGACCATCTAGTTCCAACCCCCTGCTATGGGCAGTGTTGCCATGCACCAGATCGGGTTGATCAGGATCCCAACAAGTCCAGCCCTTGAACACTTCCAGGGATGGGGCATCCACAGCTTCTCTGGGCAGCCTGTGCCAGTGCCTCACTGCCTTCTGAGTAAAAATTTTCTTCCTAACATCTAAACAAAATTTCACCTCTTTTAGTTTAAAGCCTCTTTTAGTTTGAAGTATAAACTCCTGTTCATAAGTTTCCTTCATGTACTGGAAGGCTGTAACGAGGTCTCCCTGTAGCCTTCTTTTCTCCAAGCTGAACAAGCCCAACTCCCTCAGCCTTTCTTCAAGGAGAGGTGCTCCAGCTCGCTGATCACAAGAATCACAAGAATCACAAGAATCACAAGAATCACAAGAATCACAAGAATCACAAGAATCACAAGAATCACAAGAATCACAAGAATCACAAGAATCACAAGAATCACAAGAATCACAAGAATCACAAGGTTGGAAACGACCTATAAGATCATCCAGTCCAACCATCTCCTCGTCACCATTGCCACCACTAGTACTAAACCATATCACGCAGCACGTCATCCACGGCCCGCCTCCAGACCCTTCAACACCTCCACATCACTTCTTAGCCTTTTATCTAAGATCAATTAAATTAACCTGCTCCCAAAGAGGTTTATGTCCCACCCTCTAAGCATGGTCATCCTTCATCAGGACATAGTCGTCTTTCCTTCCATTTTCTACATTAATTCTTTATTGATCACTTGACTTGATTTGCTTTTATGGACTGATCAAAGGCGGGAAATGGCAATATCTTCTTTCAAAGGCAAACGGCAGCCCATTTTGGCTTTCCAGGAGGCCCGTAAATACACCATATTACACAAGTATAACTGAGAGAATATATCTTGATAAAGCTGTATACATATTTGTCTTTCTTCTGTATCAGTTTCAGGTTAGGCAGTGTTTCGTACAGTCTCTGCCTCTCAGAACATCTATCTACCAGAAAAGATGATGCCAGCTCACCCATATGGCTGCTAACTGTCTGTCTCTACTCTTTTTTCTTACCTCTGCTACTTTCTCCAGCCATTTGGTCTGTAGTTTCTGTTTTTCAACCTTTCAGGGTAGGCTGTTGCTCTATCTAGGTAAAATACTGCTTTGCACAATCCAGCACTAGTGCACACTTCAGAGAAAAAGCCCTCCTGGAAGCAGTGGTTAAGTTCAAGTCTTTTCTATTTCCACATTAACATAATCTCCGTGTTCTTAGACATTTTTTTATGCTCTATACTAACTTCCTGCTTCTGCTGGCACACAAGCCAGGACACTGTTATCCTTCTTGGCCACCTAGGTACACTGCTCATGTTCAGCCGAGCATCAACCAATACCGGCAGGTTCTTCCCCTCCACACAGCCTTCCAGCCCCTCTCCTTCAAGCCAATGATGCATGGGGTTGTTGGGACCAGAGTCCAGGGCCTGGCATTTGGTCTTGTTGAAGCTCATACAATTGACCTTAGTCCATTGATCCAGCCTGTCCAAATCTTTCTGTAGGGCCCTTCTGTGCTCAGACAAACCTACACTTCCTCCCCACTTGGTGATACCTGCAGACTTACTGAGGTTGCATTCAATTCCCTCATCCACTTCATCAAAAAACATTAAATATGATGGGTCCCAAAAGGTGAGAACAGAAAATGTCCATAAATGTTGTAATAAATGAAAACTATCAATGTAGCAGTAGCCATATTTTCTTTTCTTGATGACAAGACTCATCTCAATAGTGTTAATGAGCTTCAGTGCCCATGGAATCTAGATTTCTCCACTCTTAACTTGGCATACTGTGGGTGTAATGTGCTATAAAGACATGATTAATCCCTTAACACCAGCTCTTCTACTGATGATGGTAGCCCTCTTCACAATGGGTTACTGCAGCTACAGAAGATTATGATTTTCAGCTTTGTAGACTTTTACAGATGCAAATTAGGTACATGAAAAAAATATCACATGTATGGATTGCCCTACACTTTGCTTTTTTCCAATGACTCATTAGGTATGTTCTAGAAGAAGCTGGAAACCATTAGAAAGCTTTTCATTTTCTAACACAAATTCTCTCTGCTAGTTCTCACCAGCTGACTGTGGCTGTTCTCCTTTTCAAAGCTCAATATTAAGATGGTGCCAGAGACTAAACATCTTGGGATGTATCATGGAGTATCACAGACAGCACTACATTTATCCATGTTCAATTTCATTTTGTATCAGCATCTTTACCACATAACCCATAAAGGAAAATAAATTTAATAACAGCCACTTGTGATTTAAAACTGTAGGAGGAATAATTAAGATTAGTAGGAGACACAGTTTCTGAATGAAGATATACAGTACATAACCCAAGTTTATGAATCCACTTTATCCAAATGATTAGTAGCTTACTTTTTTTGTGTGTGTGTTGCTGACGTTCAGAGAAGATGAAAAATCACCCTGGTGTATTAACCATTCAATCATCAACATGTATGGTAAAAAAAGTGTTACTCTGCTTCCTGACTCAAGCACTGAAGGGAAAAAAAACATGCTACAGTTTTCACACAGCTGACCTCTAAAAATAAATATTTTTGATAATTTTGACAGAATAAATGGGCACGAGAAAATCTTCACATTCATGCAGCTTATTTAAGCCTTGTTCTCTGGAGTCTCACAGAGTGTATTTAGCTTTTCATTTTCTTTTCAGAAATTTAATTTCAGAAGCACCTTAGGAACAGCTATTTTAAGCTTGCAAATATCATTGAAGGGATGGCAGTGCTAACCCACTGACAAAGCTGCTTAAGTGTACCCTGAAAACAAGCTCATCAGATAAGAAAGGGAGAACAGTTTCTGTCAGATGCTCATTCTTCAGGAAATGGGCCAGTGCTGTTCAATGAGTGCTTTCAAACACTACCTATTCCACCCCAAACCTCTTACTGTATACAGTTTTCCACCAGATGCCTTCTAGTTTCATCAGCATATTTATATGGCAATATATCGGTGAAATCTATAGATGAGATGAACTTCAAGTAATTAGAGTCCACAGGTAATTGCTCAGAGTTCTCTACCATGCTCTGAGGA